CAAAAGGATAGTAGCAAAAGGCTTCTACTTCTACTCATAATCCTTGATTTTTTTTTTTTTAGACTTGCTATGCATTCATATAGTAGTGTTTTCTGTCTTTTTGTTTTCCTTTTAATTATTTTTTTTAAGAAGAATGTTAGCAATTCATTACATTGTGGGACACAAATTTCTCCTAGATTAAAAATGACATTTGTTTTAAATACAGTTTTTCCCCCCCATGATAATTGCTGGATGATTTTGATTTAGAGGGACAAGTGAACAACATTAAAAGTCTACAAGACTTACTATTGCATTACTGTAGCATATGAATAACTTTTGCTTGTTAAACGAACATTTGAAACCAATTAGTTTGAAGAATGCCTCCTTGCAGCTGAGAAAAGAGGACTTCTTCAAATAGTCCTCTTGTTATGGTGCTTTGGTCTGCTATGGCAGCAGTAAAAAWTATATTTTTTTCTGCTTGGGGATGACTGTAACAGATACTAGGCAGTCTAGCTTCCTTTTATTTCTCTGTTGCTTAGAAGGAAATATTTTTGGCTGAGGATATTATCAACCCTTATAGAAAGGAAAAAAAGTCAGGAGAAGGTGTTTGTCTCAGGGAAGCTTCTGTCATAGTGCTCTTTACTCACCATCCTATTCAGGGTTAATTTTAAAAAAGCAGGTCGTGTAAATGGTCCTAGACCAATTCTGCAGCTTGTTTACTAGAAGACCTCCTCCTGGCTGTCAAAAAGGTAAATATTCCATAAATATTCCATCAGTTTCAAATACTTCTTTTATTGAGGTAGCTTTTTTTTTTCTTTTTTTTTTCTTTTTTATTTTCTGTATAAAAGATGTGCAAAGCAGGAAACTATACCAATAATCATATCTTCAAATAGTTGGCATTCAAATAAGTAATCAATGATAAAAAGCTTAGGAAATTTCAATTTCTGCTGCTATAAATATTGACTGAATCAATCTCTGGAAATATGTAAGAGCACAAACACACAGACACATAAACATACAAGATTTTTTGCATCATTATTGAAATTAGSTATAATAAAAGTGATAGCAAGTTAAGGACCTGAACTTCTAGCCATATACTAGCCAGTACTTGCACAGTAATAGTTACTGGTTATATCTTATGTGGCTGTCAGAATGTGTTTTCTTACTGGTATATCTAAGATATCTAAAACATTCTTCCTTTAAATTGAGGAAAGAAGCAGAACTGAGCAAATCATCAGAACTGAATCATTTCCAGAACTGCCAGGAATTGCTGTGTGACTGGAAACAGCAGCATATGTATGGGTGACTGTTGCTATGTTATATGACTACCATCAACATGGGGCCATAACAGCAAACATGTTGGTATCCAAAATCCTTTATCACAGACTCTTAATGTCATATGCTTAGCTTCTCTAGAAGAAGCTACACATGTTGATTTTCCCCTGCTGCCCATATAGCTACAACAAAACATGCTGACTTGGATAGGGCTCCGGTAGACTCTCAGGTTTTTTATGCTGTATTTCCATTCCTGTTCCTCCAGTTCTGGAGGAATTGCATTGAATTGCCCCGGGGGAAGACTGTTTGCTCAAAGGTAGAGCTGTAGTATAAATGATACATTTCACATGCCCTTTTTGCATTTGAAAAGGATAAGATCACAATAAGGTATGAAACCATTAGTATTTAACTATAAGAGCATTATCAATAGATAATAAAATACTTTACCGAGGAAATCCATTTTGCAAACTAGAAAMAGGCTATGACAGTGACGTGGCCAAGATTATGCAGCAGGCCAGTGACAGAGCTAAGAGCCCAGTCTCCAGCAATAAACTGCAATAAAAAACACTCATGCAATAAACTGTATCTGCCCAGAAGTGTCAATTTATTTTTGCATTGTAAAACTSTTGACAAAATAGGACCTACTTTACTCGTCTCATGCAGTTCAGAATTTTAAGAACTTTTCTTCTCTGTTTCTCAATTATAGCTCATCTTTCTTTTTAAATTACTACCAGCTTTRTAACTTGGTAGCTTTGTATATGGTAGGCATTCTTGCAAATATGGAGTAAAATTTACATCCAATATGACTAAAGATTGCTTTTTACCATCCTTTAATAACTATTAGTGAGGAATATATATCATGGTTATCATATTCAGATTTCTTTCTAATATATGCCAGAGAAAGTTCCTCTTTCCTATATTCATCTCCCATATAATTCCTGGAGCTAATCCAATAAGTTCTGGTTAAGATCCGGTCTCCAGAGGTGGAAGCTCTAGCAGAGGATGCTAGTTTGCACTGCAAGGAAGAACAAGCCAGGAGTATGACATCTACTGGCTTGTGAACTGGAAATGCACAAATCTATACCATAGCCTTATTATAAATAAATAAATAGATAGATACTTCAATTACATATAACTGTATGTTGGTTTCTAAGTACAGAACTCTTACTTTTGGATGAAATAATGAAGAAGCTGCCATATTTTATTTTCTGCTTTTACAGTACCATTGAGATTTTAATCTTTTCCATCAGCTAAAAAGAATAAATACTAAGCTTAATTCATGCTCATAACCAAGAGATGCATTCAAAATAAATATTTTTTCCTCTGTTTTTCCTGTTTGTGCGATGGTAAAATTATTTTTAGCTCTGAAGAAAGAAAAGTGAATCCTATGTGTCTTGCAGAACACTCAAGTTCTTCATTAAAACTAAAAATAGCAGAACTTAACTCTTATAATTTGTGTCTTAGAGTATGAAGGATGTGGAAAACATTACTGTAATATAAAATGAGGGTGGACATTTCTACATCACTGCTCTTTGTATTAGTCAGAATGGAGTGGAAGAAAATGATGTTGCATGAATCAGCTCTTACAATGCCAAATTTTCATTATCCACTTCCTTTACTTAGTCATACTTGCTTCATTTTTGTGGAAAAAGAGAAGAAAGAAAAAAGTGCACATATCTAGGTATATGATTGTTCTAGAAGTTTGAGATGTTAGGGTTTTTTTGTTTTTTTTTTTCTTTCCGAATAACTAAGATGAAACCAAACTTCCAGTTTGACTTAAAGCTTCTTGTATTTGTAAGATTAAATGTCAGAAAATATTAGAGAAAAACAGAGTATTTCAAGATAAAACAACTCTGTATTCATTCTGTGGTAATGCTTTTGSCTGCCATATGCCAGCATGTCTCATGTAGGTGCTGCCATCCAAAGCTTTATGATTCCATATTCCAAAAATTCTGATCTGAAGACCTATGACAGCTGCTGGAAAATGATCTCCATTAATATCAGTGTTTTCCCTGTTGGGTTAATAGTGTGTTAATTTGAGGTTGCATACAAGTGTCTTCAAGAACAGTGACCAGATTGCGGCATCCCGGCTGTTGTCGCTCTGTGCAGTACTGTAGCTCTGCTGGCGAGTTTGGACATCTTTCTGTGCCAGTCTCAAGCTTGCACAGAGTCTGCACCGAACGGCTGGCCTGCCGTCCTGTTGGCCAAGGTCCCCTGTAGCTGTAAGAACAGTAGCCGCAGAGAAGGCATTGACAGGGAATCTGAAAGATTTGGAAAGGAATGTGCTGTGAAGAATGGCTATTTTTACCCTCCTTCTCTCTTGTGGGTAGCTGATGACAGATCAACTACCAAGCACTTTAGTGGAGAGCAAGAATCTCTTTTTTGCTTGCAGATTGTCCAAGACCTTTCAATACGCTAAGTGCTGCATAGCCATATATTAAATCATAGATCTTGTCCCACAGGGAYTAGTGTAAAATCTACATTTCCTGGGTGGATGACACAAACTCTCTTCCTTTAACTATTATCTTTGACCTCCATGGGGAAAAAAAAAAAAAACAAAAAAACTCCACATTGCTACAGGATGGATTTATCCCTGGATSAATATCATTGTCAAATGGTCTACTGTGCATATCTTTTCTGTAAGACTGTTTTAAACAAACTGAAAACTACACTGAAGGGCAGCACGGTTAGGACAGAGCCTATAAATCACTGCAGAGAGTCAAGATACCACAGGACGGGAGCACCACCACATGTAGCCCCCCAGTTCCATTTCTCTCACTGCTGGATCTGTGCTGACAGTCTCAGAAACACTTTTTATTGCTTGCTTGAAATACTGCCCAACTCTCTTGGCAGGGCTGGTACAGCTTGGGTCMGAAGAGCCAGGCACGCTTGACTGTTTCATCCTAGGAGAGTAGCAGAGGTCATTGTGTGCCTAAATGACTGTGACATTGGTATCACTTTTGTCCTGAGGAGTCCCTTAAAGCACCTGCTCTAATTGATGGCTTATACGTTTTATTYTATACTTCTTTAGAAAGCATGTAGAGTTCTAAGCTCTGAACCCTGACTTAAAATATGCCAAGTCTACATCTTTAGATTTAGTAGACATATAAAAAAATACTCTAAGTCACAAATCATTCAATAAAAACAGATTCATCTATAAACGATTCATCTATAAACCAAATGATTCATCTATAAACCAAACGGCTACTGCTCAACGTGCAGACACACGTCTCCTTTGAGGTTTCTTTTTTCTTTAAAATACAACTTTAGCATGAAGGGACAGTTAGTTTGCTTGCAGCAGACTGGCCCACGTAGGATTTCCTACTTAAAGAGACTGTTTTTATTCTCCAAATAAACAAATAACTAGACAGCACCAACACAAAAGCCAGTTGAAAAACATCACATGCATAAAGCTTACTGAGTGACTATAAGTCTTTTTTGATCTTTCAGCATGGACCTCTGAACCCAACAAAATAAACAACCTAGATTATGCCCTAATTGCTCCGAGCAAGCAGAGCTGCAACACCTGGGTGTGTGGTTTCCCTTTATAAATTAAAAGGTCAAGCTAGCCTCTCCTCCCTTTAGGAAAACATCCTGTGCCCAGGTTTTCCATGGCCTTCAGCAGCTAATCAGCCTTGTGCCCATGGGTTAGTGGTGTGAGGGTGTCTGCTCTGCCTTTTTTTTTTTTTTTTTTTTTTTTTTTTTTTTTTTTTTTTTTTTTTTTTTTTTTTTTTTTTTCCTTTCTTTCTTTCCTTCCCTTCCTTTTGCCTGGGAATTCTATCCTCTGCTGCTGGTTTCCTCAGAAATATTCCTACTCTTTAAGCACTAAAGGGACAGCTTTTTAGCAACTGGGAGCACTCATACCAAGTACTGARCCTCTGCAGGGATGTGCTGAGGTCTCTAAATAAATAGATGTGATCTGTACATATAGCTCGTGGTATTAATACTACTGGTATTAAGGTGCTTTGACCACCCCTCTCTATGACGAGAGACTCACCCAGTGAGGTCCCATCCACACCATCTTGCTGTAACAGAAGAAAAATAAGAAGGAAAAATAAAAGTTTCTTTATTAGAACACAGCAAAAAGGTAAGATATGAGTTTGCATTTAAACAGAAAGTTGAAAAGTTGAAAAAAAAATCAAACAAAAAGTTTTTCTGGTGTACCAAGCTCATAGTGTGTCCTTTTTAGCCAGAAACCAGCAGCTGGAGACAGAAAGGAACTCTGTAAGCTGTCTGCCATGTCTCCCTTTCCAGTTTTCTTTTCAGGTTGTTGTTCAAAATGCATGTTGTGTTTTCCTTTTGGTAGGTCTGAAATCAGGGTGATTGTGTCAGCTGTGCATTTCTTTGCAAATGTGAAACGTTCTCATCATACTTATCRTTTTGCTGATTGATGCTGACGTTTTGCTTTTCTAGTTTTCTATGTAAATTTTCAAATCTCTTTGAAAGTTCTGCAGGTATTATATATACTTAAATTTTTAGAGTATTATTTCATATTAGGTAGGAAAAAGGGTTTCAGAGAAATACAAAATTAACTATGGTGTTACCAGCAAACTGACCAAATCCTGATAGGGAAAATGAGGATTTCATAGATACATATACTTAGTTCTTTTATCTAATGCATCTGTAATGCATCTGGATGCTATGCCATAGTGGAAGCTCACAATATCAAATGAAGTAAGAAGATACTAATTAAGTTTTATTTTTATTGTTAAAAAACGCTTTTTGTCTGAGGTGGGAGGAGGGGGGAGGAAATGGACTAATCTATGTGTGGTATTTTTCCATGGAGGCTGCTAATGAAATAAGGTTGTTGTGATATAGTTACAGGTCATTTTAGAATGTCTGCTGAACAATTATTTTGGCATATCTTGATTATTTTCCTAGTTCATATTCACAATGTGGTTCAGAACTGTCTCTTAATTGGTCTGTTTAGTGCATGTTCATTGCCCTCCCCCCCCAAAAAAAAAAACCCAATAGATCAGTAGTGGTGTGTCACCAACTGGTCACATTGACTTTCTGAGCTGGGTGGCTGAGCTCAGAGCCACTCTCATTGAGTTGAATTTCATTCTAGAGTTATCTGATTAAATCTTCCCATGCTATTTCTGTTCTACCAAGATTTTGTCGTCTGCCCCCCTGAAAAAAGTGGACTGTTGTCTTAGGAGGAAAATAATCTGGAGCACGAGAAGATTTATGTTAAATGGACAGTTGTAACTTTAGGGGATGCTCACATAAAAATGTATAGGAAGTGGGAAAAACATAGCGTTGACTTTTAAACACACTTTAACTTTCAAGGGATACATGAATTTCTTCAGTGTATAAGTCTTTAGGGTTTTTTTAACTGAAAGATTCTTATTCCCATGCCTGCAATGCACCTAATTTATGTTTTATGTAATGTAATGATACTTAAGTATGGGGCAAATTTGTGTGCCTGTATCTCACTCCTTTCTCTGCAGCTCCTTATGCTGCAGTGTCCCCCATCCTTGTTTGTGCTCCAGCTCTTCCTAGAGGCTTGCTTCTAACAATGACGATAATTAATGACTGTGTTTCAAGGCTTCCCAGTACATCCTGTCATTTCAGAGCCTGTCTTCTATACTGTAGGCTCTGAGAGGCAGTATTTGTTTTCATGTTTTGTCTTATGCAATGCCAAGCAATTCATTCTGCTCAACAAACAATAAAAGTGGGTGAAATTTTGCTCACTGTTATACTTTTGTAAATCTTAAGCCTTTTAACTCCATATAGGGAGGAGCAAATTARCATATTTCATATGCATTGTTGCATATCAGTATATCTGTGAAAAAGGCACGTCTATCCCATTGCAAAATGGGAAATTCATTTATTAAGCTATGCAAAGCAGCTGTTTCTCTTTATTGCGTAAGCAAATATTTTTGCTGTTAATCTAAAGCATTCTATATGGTCTGTATTGCTTAAGGTAGAAAGCTTCTWGATGCTGTTTCTTTATCACAGTCCCACTCTTAATTTTTTGCAACCCAACTTTGAATGAGGAAATGCAATCCTCTTTTCCTCCAGTTGCAGTTCAGCTCTTCTAAAGAATAAAAAGTTTTGTTTGACACTTTTATTGTCCAGATGGTTTGTGACGTGTACAAACGTTATATTTGGTAATACACTGATTATCAAAACATGTCCTGTTGCTCACTTAAGGGTTATGACTTGATGCATAGATCTATTACAAAGATTGATGGTCGTCATAAATACTAACCTACCAATTCTATAAGTGCACAGGGTTTTGTTGTTGACGGTGTTGTTTTAAAGATGCTAGATGGCACTGCTAGTCCAGGCTTTATTTTGAACAGCTGGATTTCATAAAGCTAACTCCACAAGTTACGAAAAGGGCATGTAAGATATTACTTAAACTTGACAGCTAGCGCACTCTGAGGAATATATACTATGATACTTACTATAACATTTGCTGTAAGAGAATTCTGATGTAAGCCTATAAACTCTAGTTGACTGCACTTGAAGTTGTTATACAAGTATTGTGCTTGCATTACACCCTGTGTGTTTCTTCTTTCTTTGCCACCTTATTTCATAGTTGAAGAGCTACGATAGAATGGAACTTGTTACGTATTTTTACCTTTTCTTATCCAAAAGGTTAATGCTGACGCTTTTTGAATCTCCCACTTTTCAATTATTTCATAAATTGTTTTACTGGAATCTTCCGTTTCATAAACAATATGCCACCCATGTTGAAAGACATCACTTATTTCCCAGTTCAGCAAAATATTTAAATATTCCTTTAATATTACTTTCCAGTACTTCCCAGTTTCCCTCATTTGCTCTAACTTCCATTTAATGTATGGTTCACCTTTCTTCTGTAGATTTTAGGGATTTGATGCTGTTATCTGTCGACAGATAAGGTTTTCATTTTAGAAATATACATTTTACACTTAAAAAAAAAAAATGGAGGGGACAGAAATCTTTGCCATAAAAGACTCTAGTAATGTGGAAAGCCGTTCCTGCTGTGTAAAGATTTGTGGCTTGAAAAGTTTATACAATGTTATTGACTATTCATTCTCTGTTTAGTTAGTATCAAATTCCCGTCTTTTGTTTATTGTGCAGTAAGCTTACAAAGAAACTGCAAATTCTCAGCCTCTTGGGCAGACAGTTGGATCCCGTGTCTGAGGGTCCAGAGCAACCAAACGGAACCTGCACCGTCCTGACCACGGGCTGGGTCAGCGGCTGGGGCGTAAAGACTCACCTGAGTAACTCGAGAAATCCCTTCAATCTCCCCTTTTGATTTGCCTTTCACAGGCCAGTACTTTTTATTTCTTCTCATCTGTCTGCTATCATGTTAACAAGCAAAGGAGAATCTCAGCAGTTCATTGACAGCATAATAAAATGGGCTTTAGATTTCAGTATCTGAAGAATAGCTTGCTTTTAGAGTTTTAAGCTTTCGTCTCTTGCTTGCATTGCCCCAGTGATCAAAAAAAAAAAAAAAAAAAAAAAAAAAAAAAAGCCCCAAGCCCCACAATGTACATTTTTGGCCCTATGAATTGTTCACCCAAGTTGTCCAACTGTGACAGACAGAACATAGAGTGTATAAAGACCTGCAGCCAAAGTACCTCAAATATATTTTTGTGACAATATTACAGTATGACACAATGGATATTCTGTGGGACTTTTCTCAGGTAATTACTTCCATCTAAATAAAACTGAAGATGCAAAATCTAATTCAACACAGTTGAATAGAGAATAGCCCAAACTCATTCCAGACATGAATCAAATGGACTGATGAGGTGAATTTGGCCTTGTGCATCTGCATAGGAAAGCTCATACTTCCTTTTGGAAACCCAATGCAAAGGTAACCCAAGACTATTGCTTTGAAAAATCTGTGCTAGGTGATGCTCTCAGGTGAATATTGTCCTGAATATTTCATGACTGCTGAGAGATGCTTCTTGACAATGTTGTGTTTAGTTCCTTGGTGAAAATAAACACTGCTCTGTAAAAGCAAGGCAGGAGTGAGGATTGGCAGAACAATATTGTTTATTGTTGATGGAACAATGTAATGTAATACAGTATTGAACCACCTGCAAGTTAATATTACTCTGAAAGATGTTTTTTTTTCAGTTTTTATAACAAAGCTAATCAAAACCACCAAACTAAACTACATTACTGCTTTTAAATGATGCTTATATATATATATATATATATTTGAGTTAGTCCCGATAGCCCTTTTATCTGAGCAAGAATAAGGTGAATTGTATTGGTCTGAATGCAAATTACTGCTGTGGAATGTATATTGTGGGGAAAGTCCATCTATATGGGTTTTATTCAAAATGGCATTTTACAAGGTATGCTGGCAAAAAATAACAATGATATSTGCTAGGGTAAACATTTGTGTGTATTAGTTTGTCAGCTGTTCCTAATTCTGCATAATTTAGATGCTGTGTACCGGAGAGGTGTGCGTTATGTATCAATAATGTATATGTGGGTTAGTTTCATGTGAGAGAAAGCTGAGTAAATAAAACCACTCTAATGTTCTCTATTTATTATTAATCAGTGTGACAGAATAACAATTCAAATACCCAAGTGTGCCATGGAAGTCAGGTGAATTTTATAGACTTGAGACTTACTCTGCGCTAAGTTTGAGATATCCCTGTTCAAATAATTATGATGCAAGTCTAAAATGACTGTGGCAGAATTTGATTTCTTATGAAAATATGTATTCATTTTGCCTGTTGTAATTTTAATCCATATCAGCAAGGGAGAATTTCAAAGTAGTGTCTCTGCTCTCCAGAGGCTCCCATAGTATATTAAGGTATTCATGGAGAATTTCATTGGCTTTACATATAGAAATCAGGTCTAGCCAGAAGGCTTTCAGTGCAAGATCAGAACTAAAATTGGCAAATGCTGAACATTTCTTAAGGAAGCTGCATTCTTCTTATCAGACTGGTGCCTGAAAAACAACCTGGAATTCAATATCAGTTCCATATGGAGAGAAACCTCAAAAGAGAATCCAGAGCAGCTGAATGCAGTCACCCAAGCTAGTCTGGGTGAAAGGCAATGAACAAAGATGGGTTTAGTTTGCTCTTGTAGGACTTATCTCTCTCTGAAATCCTGAATAAAATAGAT